TGCCTATTTTTCTAAATATAAACTGTTCAGTTTATATTTAGAAAAACAGGCAACAAATTGTTTGTCATATAGTTTTAAATTAGTATTAAAACAGTAACATAATATTCAAGAGACTTTAAAATTAATAGTAAAAAAAAGCCTTTGATAAGTCAAGAAATTACTGTAGAAAAGTGCTGTCTGATGTTAAGCTCCATTATTACTAGTTTACCAAATCTTGCATCTTTTTAATTTGCATCTCCAAAGTTAGGCTCTAGAGACTTTTGGACAATGTTTAACAGCATCATCAACAATGGTAAATCTAATAAAGTCTAAATGGTAAGTCATTTCATCTCTAATTCATTGGTTTGATCTTTTTCCACTTCCAATGATAAGGCAAAGATTGTTTGTGAAGTGCTTTTCTTTTAATTTGACTAGTGAATTTTAATTCTTACAAAACTCAGTTATTTAATGCAAACAACACTATACTGTTGACATTTCTATATTTTTGATTGGCAAAACTCTCACTGAATCATCTACTATTTATTTGTAGTAATTTTTATAACATGAACTTTAATTAAATATTAAGATTAAGTTAACTTATATTATACAGGAGTTATCTATTTTTTGGTATCCCCTTGATTAATTTTTCTTTAGAAAAGAAAATTGTTATCTTAAAAACGTTAAATGCACACAACTAAATAAATTTATTAAAAATAAATAAGTTTATTATAAATAACTAAGCAACTGAATACAAATACGTTTCAAACAAAAAAAATTTAATTTACAGTCAAACATGTGTATAACAAATTTAACAAAATATGTAAACTTTGATCTTTTATATTGCATTAATGCGTCAAATGACAAACCTAAAATAAAAATTGTAACAGATAAGTAGACATAAAAGAAAAGAAAAAAATAACTGGAAAACAATTTGCCTGCTTTTGGTAAACTGTTGTGATACTTCAGTTGTTGTCATGATGCAGCAGTTCTTGTCGGTGTTGTTTAATGACGTTATTTTATGTTGGCTTTTAGCAAACTTTAGTTTAATTTAAAAGACATCACAATGGACTTAAAATATTTTAATTAAAGAGCAAAATATAAAAAGCTTTAAGTAGCCAAACTATAAACATTAAAATAAAAAAATCAAATTGATGAAAAAAAATTGCATTTATATAGCTAAATAAATTGTCTTGGCTTATAGTAAATTTTAAAAGCATTGAGTTTAATAAATAAAACTACTAATTAATTATTTTTAACAAAAGCATGTTTCATCATTATATTTTTGATAATTGGATAATGAATCAGTTTAACTATATTTAAGTTTAATTGGTGAAAAAATTATTAAAATTTTAATTAAAAATGACTAAAACAAATTAAATATACAACGTAATATACTTAACACCCCGGTATGGATGAGCCCTTCATTTAAAGGAGGATTTCTACACCACTTATTGAAGGCCCTTCCTTGAAAGAGGCCCTGGGTGTTGGGAGCTATAACTTTGATATCGCTCAACTGTTAACGAATCTAAAATTACTAATAGAAGAATATAATAAAAAAGTATAAATATTTGGAATTTTATTTAATCAAAGCATAAAGCATAACCTCACCATTACCACAAGTGACATAAGATGAAGCTAAAAATATATAAAAAAAAAATAAGTAAATTAAATAGGGTTAAACATGTAAAAAATTTCAAACCAAAAAGAATGACTTGAACACTATACTGTTGACATTTCTATATTTTTGATTGGCAAAACTCTCACTGAATCATCTACTATTTATTTGTAGTAATTTTTATAACATGAACTTTAATGAAATATTAAGACCAAACGGAAAGTTGTTGTTACAAACATCTTTTAATAACCGATCGATTGCATTTAAAGCGTGTTTAGGAATCATGGATGACTCATCTAGCATAAACAAACTAACTTGCCTTAAAAATTGTCCCTGAATAGAGTTAGGAGTCACATTACATGTACTGTTATCCAGTATTGGGACAGGAAGTTTAAATAAGTCGTGCAATAAAATAATTTAATTAAACTAAAATTTTAAAAATAAATTTTCCTTACATAATTAAAAGAAAAATTAACAAAACGGATATAAACATATTTACTTATGAATAAATTTTGAAAAAACTAACATTTGAAAAGTTTAATTTGGAAAAAAAGTTAACTAATTTCAAGTCCATTTTTTCTCAAACTTATTTGTCTCTTATGAAGTATTTTTTTATTAAATTTTTGCCGACCTGACCTCGGCTTACTATATATATATATATATATATATATATATATATATATATATATATATATATATATATATATATATATATATATATATATATATATATATATATATATATATATATATATATATGTAGATATAGATCAAATAAATAAAAAATATTATTATCAAAATGCTATTATTAAAAGTAATAAAGCTTTTTTCCTTTGAAGCATGAAAACAAATTTAAAGTTCTTTTGTTTTTAATTAATAAAATAATGTGTACTGAAGTATTTATAGGAGCAAAAAAGAAAAAGAATAAATGTGAAAACTAAATAAAATTCAGTTTCTTTAGAATATATAGTATATAATATATATATATATATATATATATATATATATATATATAATATATATATATATATATTTGTGTTTGTAAATGTGATATACAAACCTCTACAATTTCTTTGGTTCAACAACTGAATCACAAATTGGGAAACATAAATTTTATTTTAATTTAAATGTAAATAAATAGAAAAGTAAGGAAATGCATATTGCTTATAGTATCTAGATAAATAAATCTAAAGTATCAAAATAACTAAACAAATTAAAACATAAATAAAAATTAATGCAAATGATTACTACAAATATCTTAATACAAATAAAAAACATACAAAGTCAAATTTATATATTATATTTATAAACAAAATTCATTTATTCAATAAAAAGTTATATTATATTAAAAATTTATGAAAAGCCAAAAAAGTATGTGTGAAAGCAAACCAAAAAAGTAAATAAATAAAACAAAGTAAACAAAATGAATAATGGTTAGAGCATAAACAAACAAAAAATCTAATACAAACATTTCAAAAATAAATCTTATTATTAAAATAAAACTTTTATTTTTAAATATAAAAGCTGGCACCATGTTCATTGCTTGCCTCGTGAATTTTCGGAAGTAGATTGGAAACTATTAGCGAATATTTTACAGAATACAGAACCATAACTAAGATTGAACAATAGACATAACCATGCGCATTCAACGGTAAACGTTAACTGGAAGAATTATATTAAGATGTTCAGTAGAGCTATTTTTTTTGAAACTAATGGTTAAGAAGATTAAATACTTGGTTGAACAAATTTTTCTTATTTTTTTTAAAAAACAAAAAGTACTGATATTCGTTTATAATTACTCACATTTCATAGTTTACCTTTTATATGCATAATTTGCCTGACCAATAGAAAACATGCTGTTTTTTATTGATCAGGCAAAATTCTTTGATTAATTGAATTTAAATAAAAATGACTTATCTATCTTTAAATATCATAATATTTAAAATGTCAGGATCAACTTACACTAAGTTTACACTGAGTTTCAGCATTTTAAAATTTTATTAATTTTACTTCTAAAAAAGTATAAGTAAAAATGTATTACTTAACCAAAAATATGAATAAATAGATAAATTTATACTTTTCTAGTAAATTATAGTTGTTTCTTATAATTTTATTCTTTGACTTGAAAAGTTAAAATTAAAAGATTTAACAGGAATTTTGAGATCAACTATAAGGAAGGAGAATGCAAGAAGAAAAGAGAACTGGAAACTATAGGGAGAAAACAAGAATAAAGAAGGACTATTATTTCCATCATGAGTATCATATTGTGATTCTTCAAAATGAGAATAAAAAAAAATTAACTCAGAAATTGGTAAATGTGAAGTTGAAATGACTAAAAAATATTAAAAATCTCAAAAAAATTATAAATATGAAGCTTAGTCTAATCATTACACTAACATAGGATAATGGATCATAGGATAATAGGATAATCTAATTCATTTATGAGTTATATAAAGTTTTTTTTTTATTTTAAGAATCATCAAAGTTACAAAAAAATAATGATGAAAGCTTCCACCAGTACACAGTGCAAGATGAAACTTTATAACATCATGTTTCTATTTCCTACTTTTTTTACCAATATTAAGGTGAGGTTGAAACTTCACCAACATTTACTGCAAATCCATGAAAACAAATCTTATAATAAATTATATGCGCTAAACTCATTGACCAAAGTTAAGTGTTTAAATGATTAAAAGTGCTTCACAAAATATCTGAGCAAACATAGATTGTGTAGTAGACATTCAAATAATATTATTGTTTAACATGGTGTTAAATTAAAAAAAAAAACTTCTACAAAATGCAAAAAAAAAAGGTAAATAAAAATTGTTAAATTTATTGAGAACAATTATCTGTGAAGCATTTTAAGAATTTTTTTATTTAAGCTCTTTATCAAACATTTTGTTCAACATTTTTAAATACAATTTTTTATTAGCTGTATATATTTATACAGCTGAATAATTTGAAGTTTTTGACAATAGTTTTTTTTTGTTAAAATAATTTTTAACAAGACACTTAGTATATTGATTGTTAGACCAATTTTTATTAATAATTTAATGTTTCTCAGGCTATAGCATATAGGATTTAAAAAATGTTATAACTCTAGTGTCTTTTATATATACATATATCTTTATATATATATATATATCTTTATATATATATATATATCTTTATATATATATATATATATATATATATATATATATATATATATATATATATATATATATATATATATATATATATATATATATATAATATATATATATATATATATATATATATATATATATATATATATATATATATATATATATATATATATTGATTATAAATATCTATATTATTTTGAACACAATATTTAGATTTAACATTTAGATTTTTATTTACATATGGTTGTTTTTTATAGATTCAATCTTCAAAGGACTTTTGGCCATGGATGGAGAAATTTTTTTTACCTAAAGTTTATCCAGATCCTTGGTATAATTTGAGTAAATTATATGCAAATACAGACAAAAAAGATTTTCCTGGAAAAGTGTTTTTAAATGATCTTACCTCAAAGATTGTGAATGGAATAAGAATTCGACAAATTCGAGTGCAGTCAAGTAAGATATTACAAATATTCAAAATTAGTTAATATAATAATCTATAAGATACAAAATGAATTTATAAATTTTAACTAACATTTAATTTTGTGTAAACATTGATTCTTATAGATTGAGTTTTTCAGAATATTTGATGACTTAAGGAAAGTAAAGTTTTCATAGAAGCAATAATAATGATTTTGGTTTTTAGTTTGATTTCTTTGTTTTTTTCAAGTTTGTAACATATTTATAGTTTTTTTTTATTTACTTATTTTAAATGTTTGCACACAAAAAGGGTCTGTGTACTTTGGAGCACTTCAAGCTGTATTAGCCCAAGAAATGTAAAGAAGGAATTATTGTTTAGTTTATGTGTTAGTTAAAGTTATCAAAAGTTGGACAGATATCCAGGGCAAAGTCAGATATCCAGGGCAAAGATTATATGTGTCTAATGGAGCTTCTGTTTACTCTATTTGTGTGTGTAGATTTCTAGCCTGAAGTTTTTTTTTATGTTATAGTTTGTTTTTTAAATAACACATGGGTTTGAAAGTTTTAGGAATAAGGATTTGTCATTTTTAAGACCTGTATACATTTGTTTTCCATTGTTGTTTGAGACATAAATGCATTTAAATTCAGAAATGTCTGGTGACCCCATGGTTTTAGCAAATTATACATGTGGTTTTGACAAAATTCTTCTTGATAAATCTAGCTCTAAAAAACCATTGTGGTCAATCTAACCTGAGAGAGTGTTATATTTTCTTTTTAGTTTTTAGATATCAAAACATGAATTTGTTAGTCTGGCCAATAATCATTTTTTGTCATAAAGACATTAATGCTAGTCATAAAAAGCATTGTGGTCAATTTAGCTTGACAGAATGTTTTTAATGTTATCTAGCCTGACAGAATGTTATTAATGTTATTTAGTCTGACAGAATAATACATTTTTTAAGAAGTTAGAATAAAGAAAAATCATAAAGTTGAAAAATTCCTTTTTTTATTTTGTCTTAAAGAAAAGTCTTTACTTTTAAGTAAAGACTTTAAAATGCCTCAATTGTTATGGGTGTTAGATATGGGTGTTAGATTTTAAAATTTTGTCTTCAGCCAAGTAAACAGAAATAAATTAACCTTTTATTATTATAACAGGGAGTGCTTAACTTGTCAACTTTTAAAACTTTTCAATAATCAAGTTCAGCAAGTAAAAAACTGTTAAATATAAAATGCAAACAAGTTTTCTCATGATATTTAAAGTTTTGAAATATTTTAACGTAAAACTGTTTATAGAGTTAACTTAATTATTGTTTGGTATTTTAATTAATATATAATTTTGTTAATAAAGTCAAAAATTTCAAGAAAAATATAATAAACTGTATGATACATTATATAATGCTCATTTTTATTGTATATTAGTTTAATGTTTAGACTAAATAAGGTAATAATTGATAAATGTAAGAGTGTAACCCAGTAACCAAGTAAACTGAGTATAACCAAGTGTCACAGTTTGATCAAAGTTGATTTTAAGTCTGTTGTTCAAATTTAGTATTTAGTTTATATTTAAGATCATACATGCTAACCTTTTGTGTTGTTTTTTAGATTCATGCATAAAGCCCAACTTGGTTGCTGAGTATATTAAAATAGATTGCTTGTCTCAATTTTTTTCTGCATCAGAAGAAACTAGAGATTTTCATTTAAATTGGTCTTCAAAACTTAATTCAACCAAGGATTCGTTAAAAACACCATGGAGTTATCAAACATGGCAGGAACTTGATGGGTATCCATATGCAGCTGATTTAGACACATACTATGGTGGAGGTTATGTTATAGAAATCTTTCCTAAATGGAAAAACAAGGAATTACTGGAACAAGTTAAGGATTCTAGATGGATTGATAGACAAACTCGGGCTGTAATAATTGAGTTTGCTTTGTTTAATGCCGTTACTAATTACTTTAATATGGTTATAATGGTTTTGGAATTTCCTGCTTCTGGTGGAGTTGTGCCTAACTTTTCAATTATTACCTTTAACTTATACTCATCAACCAAAGTATTAGGAATTACCATGATGGTTTCTCAAATACTGTTTATTTTGATGATGTTAGTGATTACAGTTCGAGAATGTCGCTTTTTGTATCGAGCAGGTCGGATGTACTTTTTAGAGTTTTGGAATTTAGTTGAGGCTGCAATAATTATACTTTCATACATTGCTGTAGGATTTTTTTTTTATAAAGGTAGCTTACTAAGCTTTTATCTTTTATTGACATAGTAAAGATTTTATGGCTTTAACTCTTGCTCACCTAAAAATTCTAATTTATAGGAATTTCATTTAATAGTTTAAAATATTTTATTTAATAGTTTATAATTCATTTAATTTTTTTATAAGAATATCTGGGAAAGTCTTTATTGAAAAGATTATCTACTAAGAAACCACAGATATTTATCAACTTCCAGTTTGCATCTTACTGGGACTTGACATACATAAACATTGTAGCGCTAATTGTTTTTTTTGTAACTTTAAAGTTCATTAAGCTCTTGCGGTTCAATCGTCGAATTTCAATGCTATCTTCAACTTTAAAAGCTGGTTGGTATCCTTTATCAATGTTTGGAATTATAGTTCTCATCATTTTGTGTTCATTTATATTTTCATGCAACATAATGTTTGGTAAAATTTTAAACTTTTTTTTATTGTATGGTTATTTTATATTGTTTTGTGATTGCTTCATTTTTTTAGTCATACAAATGTTAAAGGAAACTTATTACTTTAGTTTTATTTGTTGTTTTGAATATGAAATTCTATACTTTACATTGTAACTAATGGTTAAGCCTAACATTTACTTATACTTTTTGTGGAAAAAAACTATTTCAAAATTTAATTTTATAAAAAGAAGTTTTTTTAACAAGCTATTGTTTGTTAAACTTTTATAACTCTATCATTTTTTAAATGGTAAACATACACACACTTAATTTAAGAAATAAGTGATTTTTAAAACCCATCTATAAATTTTATAATCAACAAAATTCTCTTAATGTAATGAGAATAATGAGAAAACTGATAATTTGTCTTGATATATATATATATATATATATATATATATATATATATATATATATATACATATATATATATATATATATATATATATATATATATATATATATATATATATATATATATATATATATATATATATATAATATAATATAATATAATATAATATAATATAATATAATATAATATAATATAATATAATATATATACACACACAAAAATAATATACAGTGTGCCACAATAAAAATGGAATGCAACATTATATTAAAATTTTTTATTTTGTATTATGTTAAAAATAAAGAAATACTTGTACTTTTTTGTTTTTAATAAACTGATAAACTCTGTGTAATTTGTTTTTTGTTTTCTAAAAAAATTTATCTCTAAGGTGTTTTTGTTTAATTTTAATTTTATTTAATTTTAATTTTATATTTATTTAGTTTTATTTTTATTTAATTTTAGAAAACAAATTCTATAAACATAGCTAAGTATATAACAATTTTTATTGGATTTTTATATTTGAATGGATAAAATTTGAAATTAAATTATTTGTATAGTTATGTATATTTGTGTCCACTATGTATGTATGTATATATATATTTGTATAGATGCATATATATATATATATATATATATATATATATATATATATATATATATACAATATATATATATATATATATATATATATATATATATATATATATATATATATATATATATATATATATATATATATATATATATATATATATATATATATATATATATATATATATATATATATATATATATATATATATATATATATATATATATATATATATATATGAAGAGTGTATTTTCAAAATGCGGTATATCCATTTTTGTGGTATTGAGATAATTGACTTTTTTCGCCACACCAACATGTCTCGTATATTTGGAAAAATTATTGTTTCTTAATGTAGATATACATAAGTATATTATATAATGTTAATAAATAAAATATTATTAAATAAAGATTTTTTTTTTTTTTTGTCAATAAGTTTGCATTTATTTTCAAAATACTGTATATCCAATTAAAGCTTGTTAGCAAAATGCGGTATATCCATTTTATAAAGATGTTATGGAAAGTTTTTAAACTTTAAAAGACCTGAATAAGTTTTAATGATTAATTTTAGTTAACATATTGAACAAATATGTGTATTTAATGTTTGGTCATTATATTTTATTGATAATGTGAATGTAAACAATGTTTTATTAAAGT